AAACTGGTTGATCCACTCTGAGAAGGTGCTATTTAAGAGACTGAGCTGAATACAGCACCTCAGACTGAGGAAGTCCTCAGGATGAGAGACGAAACGTTTCTACATTTTTTTGTTGTTTTTTGAACATCCAGAGTACCAGACTTAACTTTTTTAGATATTGCTTTATGCTAGGCCATTGTGAGTTGCACTGGAACAGGGGGGGCCAGGAGGCCACTGACCACACACACACTTTACGGCCCTGCCCGTCAGCTGGTCCCAGACAGTTTCACAGGCTGCACCCAATGGTTCCTCTACGCTGCACTGCTCACACATTCTCTGAACACAAGACAATCTATACTGCAGTTAAGGCAACGGCACAAATGCTCAAGCAAGATATCTGGTTATCTCCTTCTTTACAATAAACTGTCAATCTGGGCGCAGCTCTCTGCCTGTCTGTGTACGTGCAGAGTGGAGGAGGACCCCCCCCCCCCCCACCACCTTCTCAGTTATTATCATCGTTGCTCTCACCTTGGCAGGTTGAGTCGTCTGGAAGGTGACGTCCGCTGCGATCCAGATTCCTCGGGACCTCTCGGCCTGGGTCCAGATCTTCTCCTGCCGGCCGCCCTGCTGCTGCTGCAGATAGACCACCAAGGCCTGCTCCGTGTGGTTGAAACCTGCCGGGGTCAAGAACCGCCACGCTGAGGTGATTCGCGCCTCGAGGAAGCCAAAGGGCGCTCCTCAGGACAGTTTTTAGATGCAGCTCACCTCTCAGGGAGAAGTAAAACCTCAGGCAGAACCTCGTGTTCCCGGGCAGAACCGGACTCATCACACGGTTAACGTATCCGGAGCGTGGGTCCAGGCCCGAGTGAGCCAGCAGGAAGGATCCTGGAGGGAGAAGGCAGCTTTAGAGTTTCCATGTGAGGCTCTGTTCCCATTTTCCTTCAGCTCCCCACATCTGTGTCCTGCAGGTTTTAAAGCTGCTACGTCACATAAAACCCGTTCTGTTAGCGGGTTTGAAAAGTTCTGCTGAATAAGAAAAGAGGCGCCATGATTATGAGGGGCTTAAAAAGTCCAAAACATCTGATAAATATCAGCCGTTTGGACAGACGGAGGTGAAAGGGTTTCCCTGAGACGTCCTGTGGGCCACTCACCCAGGCGCTCTCACGTCGGAGCAGAAGCTGCAATAAAAACAAACCTCCGGTCTTCACGAACAGAAGGAATCTGATTTACAGCGTCAGAGCAGCCTCCCTCCAGTTCAGAGCTTCTTCTTGGTCTTCAACTTTAAAACCTCATAAAACCTTACAGCAGGGGTGTCCAAAGTGCGGCCCGCGGGCCATTTGAGGCCCCTGGAATGATGGTGTGCGGCCAAGTTGAAGAAACGTTTGGTTTCATCCTGAAGGTTCAAGAGGTTGATGCAGATGTTGACGTCTGCTAATTTAACTTGGACTCTTTCTTACATATACAGTTTTTAGGTTGGGGGAGTGGTGGCGCAGAGGTTACAGAAGGTGGGCCTGTGATTGGAAGGTCAACGGTTCAACTCCCCGTATCACCAACATCAAAATGTGGGTGGGAAAGATGAAACACCCACCTCCACCCTCACCTGGCCCACCCTGAGCAAGCCCCCTCCCCAGCACCCAGATGGCAGCCCCCAGCTCCACACAGAGGGCTGTGGTAGCGTCAGGATATAAAATATATTATTATTATTATTAGAGATTCAGATTTCTGTGGCCCCTCAGTGTCGACCAGAAACAGTTTGGACACCCCCGAGTTAAAGCGCAAGAACATCCTTCTGAACAGTTAGAGCCATAAACGTGTCGTTTTTTTGATACTTTTCATTCAGTTATTCCGTTTTCTTTGTTTACAGAAGTGTAGAAAAACAAATAAACTGAAATTATTGTTTGTTCTAAGAATAATTCATAAGAGAAAAGCGTTGGTCGTTGAGCGACCTCCTCCCACCTGCGCCGGTGGTGTGGTCTCCGTTCCTGAAAAGGTTCGGCTTCACGGAAACTCTCCTCCACGACGACCCGACGGTCCGGTCCTGGGAGTACTGGCAGAGGCCGGACTCGAAGTCGCAGTCGGCGACGGAGGGGTCAAAGGTCGGCTCTGCGGAAGCCAAGCGGGAGGATGGAGATGTTGAGGTTCGTCCGACGCACAGGACGGTGCTCGACATGAAACGAGTCTGCGGCTCACCTGCGTCTCCGCTGCAGAACTCCGGAGAAAACGCCAGGTCGTCCAGGGCAACATGGCCGCCTCTCGGACTGTTAAAGGCCACCTCAAAGACCACCTGAAGGGCCGCGCAGAAACAAAAACCCGTTAACTGAGCTGTCGGCATCAAGACTTAAGTAATCACTGGAGCTCTGCTGACCTGCACGGAGTACGGCGCCTTCAGGTCCACCTGCACAGGTATCCATTCTCCAAGGGAGGTGCTCCAGTCCTCCTGGCTCTCTGACCCCGCCCTCCACAGCTCCTGGTACTGGCCCAGGCGGTCCCGGGTGTAAACGGAGAACAGGTTTCCTCTGTCCTCGCTGCGTTGGTACTGGAAGCTCAGGCACCCGGACATGGGCGCCGTCGTCATGGGGGACACGAGCTTGGCCACCTCTGTGAAGGTCTTCGTGTAGCTGGAGTCCACGTACATGAAGTGACCTGAGGAGCAGCAGAACCTCAGAGCTTCACGGGCCGCCGTGGTTCCATCTAACCGTTTAAATTACACGCCTCCGACCTGGAGATGCTCCTGATTACACGTTTACACACTTAAAGCCACAATGACCTAAAAATAAAAGCACGGCTTCGCTTTTTGAAGTTTGTTTTTCAGCCTCTTACAGAGAAACTGCAAAACAAAACGTCCACGATGACATCATGTCTGGCCTCAGTCTGAAATTCATTCGGAGAATTAATGTTTAATAAACATTTTAACCCCCGGACGTTTAATTGACTTTATGACGATTTGTGTGACTACGTCGACCACCTTACGTAGAAGCTTAAAAATTATATTTCTAAATGTTTTCTTCTGCAATAAACTCGTCTTTTAGAGCTTTCTTAGCCAGAAAAAAAAACCCCAACAAATTTAATGGTTGTTGTTTTTTTTATTTGACCTCTTTTTATTAAAAAAATAAAAATTAAAAAAACCTCTACATTTTAATTTTAAAAAATCCAACAAAATATTTATTTTATGGCAATTTTTGAATTAAAAAAAGGAAAAATTTCCAGATTAGTTTGCCCAAAATTATTATTTTTTGCTAGTTTAAAAAAAAGTCCGTCTGGAGTTTTGTGAGGAGCCTTCAGACCAGCGGACCCTCCAGATCCGGTTCCTGAAAATCAGGACTTGTTTTCGGTCAAACTGTCTCGTGTTACTTGATGGTCGGACATGGAAGATGTTTTCAAATAAAGTTTTTATAACTACTTTATTTTTTTAAACTCAAACTAGTCTTACTTCATCTTTGCTTTTACTGACCCGGACATGAGCAGCGAATTTAAAAATCTAAAGTACAGGGATAGAGGTAAAAAGATAAAAGTTAATAAGAGGAATTCTTTTTTTTTTTATGATCTGATAAATATGGGATTATAAATTGTGTTATAGTTTATTTCAATGTGGACCCCCCCATTTAAAACCCTGCCTGTGCAGTAGAACTCTGACTCACCGGTCTTGTTCTGGTACGTGTGGTCGGTGGGCATGTGGTTGTGGAGCAGATGGACCCCCCCTCCTCCGACGTACCAGTTCACGTTGACGTTCCACAGGTTGCTGTATCCACACAGGTGAGGGTCCTCAAAGTCACACGCTGCGGTCACAGAGAAGAATCAGCACCGACAGGCCGTACAAAGCACGGCCAGATTATAATCTGACCCAGATTAATAAATACTGTAATGGTGCAAACATTTTGTGGAATCATTTTGGACCACTCTTCTTTCCATCGTTGGTTTCTGCTCAGCTCTCTGATGGTCCAGTCACCATGTTTCAGTCAGGTTGAGGTTCTGGACTCTGACTGGACCTTGGTTCAGCTGGTCGCTGCTGGGTTTGGATCATGGTTCTGTTGGACCCAGTTTGGTCCAAGCTTCAGCTGTTGGACTCCAGAACCCTTTGGTCTCCAGAGGAGCTCCTGGTCTACTGACAGGACGGACAGGAGCCCAAACCATCAGCTCTCCACCACCGTACTCACAGCTGGGAGCAGCCCTTTGCTGCAGTGCACTCTGGGTAAAGACTTCCTGTCTGGTCTATTCAGTCAAAAGACATCGTTCCAGAAGTCTTGAGTTTCTATAAGAGACTTTAAAACTTGACGCGTGCTTCCTTGATGGTTTTAGAGAGAAGATATTTGTCCTGCATCATGTTTGACCTTTGACCTACTGAGGCCTGCAGAGTCTAAGATGGAGCTCATTGTACAGTCTGCCATTCGGGGTGAATCTGTTGCCACTCCTGTGAAGACTGTCAACTCTCTTAAATATTTTCCAAATTTGAAAAATCGCTCTCTGCTAATGACCTTTGACCCTTCCCAGATTAATGGGCAGGAACAGCTGCTCCTCTGGGGTCATTGCTGATGTCTTTCCATCTTGGCGTTGTAGGCTTCAAATAGAGGCGGCCCACCCGATGAGGATCAGCAGCTCCGACTGATCCTGAACCTTTGAAATCTTGTGGCAGGAACCACAGAATATTTCTCCTTTCTTCACCTTTTATTAGTTTTTAAATGATTTAGAGGTATTTATTCTGTCGTTCATTTCAGCTTTTATTATCTAATACCAAGACTTGAACCAGAAATGTAAAACCTGAGACCTGAACGAGTCTGGACCTTGTTTTTACTCTGCAGTCTGTGTGAGCTTGCGCGTCAGAGCAGATGGTCTCCATTAAGACTCCGACAATGTTTTTGTCGTCTTAAGACGAGATATTTATGAAGTCACTGACCCAGGCAGTATCCAGGGCTGATGTGGATCTCAAAGATGGCCACGCTGCTCCCCGCGCTCAGCCCAGGTCTCCCTTCGACGACGATCTAATCAACGACACATGTAACAGGAATGAAAGGTCAGGAGGTCGAGCGCAGCTCTTCGTGTTCAGCAGCTGGTTGGAAGAAACACAAACATGTTTTCAAGCTGTGAAAAGTGGATTTATTTATCTGATGTGTTGAGTGAGATGAAGAGGCGGCTGCTTTTAGCTCTCCCCCCACTTACGCTTTATTTCTGCTCCCTTGTCTCGGCTCAAGTGTTTATACGCCGAGGGGCCCACACATGGAGCCGCTCTGGCCCGTCAGCACGCTGGTCCCGATCCTGTCCGAGTCCGCTCTTCGTAACATAAACACGCCCCGCCGCTGTTTATATTATCATGCAAGCACTTCGTATTGGGCTAATTTTAGACAGGTGCGTGCAGCGCTAACCCATATCTGCGTTTTCAACTTTAGCTGCAAATTTTATTCGTTCATTAATTCACAAAGTGGTCGCCGGGTAGAAGACTCTGTTTTCAAACTCAACCAGCTGCGTAACTCCTAGACATTTTTCTGTTAACAAAACTGGATCTCTCTTAACACTAGAAGTCCCAGGAATTTCGACCTCCCCCCAAAAGTCCTGAAAAAGGGTCAAAAGACCCTTAGCACTAGAGTGACTAGATTTTCAAGATCCTGAGGACAAACCCCCTCCTTCTCCTCAACAATTTGCGGGCCATTAACTGCCATTTGTTTTAAATATGCACACAAGTAACTCAGACACACCCACCTCACCAGACTGCATTCCAATGTCCAATCCAGGGAGCGGGGGATTTTTTTTTTTTTTTTAGCCTTTATTTATACAGGTTAGTCTCATTGAGCCACGAGAACTCATTTTCAAGAGAGACCTGTTTAGGGAGTACATGGTGGGGGTTAAGGGCCTTGCTCATGGGCCCAGAGTGGGGCGAATGAGGGTGGGGGCAAGTGTGGGTGTTTCACCTACCCCACCCACAATTTTGATGTTGTCGGGGCCGGGGCGTGAACCGGCGATCTTCGGATCACAAGCCCACCTCTCTAACCTCTGCGCCACCACTCGGGGGATTTAGAAGCCAGGTTCACTTGCGCAAAAAAGCGCAGCCTTAGTCAAAGTAGTGCTCCAAACCGGACAACTCTGATGGCTCCAATTAGCATCCTTTCATTTGTAAATGTGGCCATTGCCTTAGGAATCAGCAGGGGAGATATAAGCTGAACTCACACAAACGTCCGTCTAATACTCCAAACAGATGCGAAATCAACTGGTTATATTTTGAACTTATATCTCTTGGTGGCACGTTGGTGCACATTTTGAACAAATTGAAGTCGATTTACCGTTTATTTTTCAATTGGTTTGGCTCATTTCTTGAAACCGAGATGACATTCTCAAAACACCATGTGAAACACAACTCAAGAGACTTTGCATTTTGAGGTTACTGACAATTTGTATGAAACACATATTTTGTTTTGAAGCATACATGAAGTGTTTTGGGAGAGATGCATTATCCAGGTCATTTTGCCAAATGAACAAAACAAAACAAAAGTTTGCAAAACATACAATCTGTTTCAAGATATATGCAAAAGTTTTTCTAAAAGATTTTAGTAATGTTTTTCTTTCAGAAAAAAGAGAAGTGGGTTCAAAATGACAGTTTAGAAAAAAATAACCAAATTAATTGTGAGAAGAAGGCACGCAAGGAGAAACTGCTTCAGCAACAACCTTCCACACCCAGCCCTGGCAAAAGGGCAAAGTGTCAGATCAAACATCGATGCACGAACAATTGTGCAACTGTGAGATGCGTCAACTGCTACAAATACACATGTGGCAAATGTACCAGGGACATACCCTGGCAGTGCCAGGTATGTTTCGACAGTGCAGATGGACTGCTGAGTGAGTGCTGAAATGCCAGTCACACAAGGAGGACATGCCACTCACACACACGCAGCCCCCCCACTAGAGCATAGTGTAAATATGTGTAGAATTGTTTTATCCCTTGTATTTTTATGACAAAAATAAAAAGCATGGAAACAAATAACGGTTGTTGTTTTTTATATTTCTCATGCTGAAGTTTTAGTCCTCTTGACTTACACACAGTTGCTTATGGTCTGTGCTTTTTTGCTCAAAACTAAGCTAAATACTATATATATCAAAACAAAATATGTGTTTCATACTAATTGTCAGTAACCTCAAAATGCAAAGTCTCTTGAGTTGTGTTTCACATGGTGTTTTGAGAATGTCATCTCGGTTTCAAGAAATGAGCCAAACCAATTGAAAAATAAACGGTAAATCGACTTCAATTTGTTCAAAATGTGCAACAACGTGCCACCAATATATATATAAAAAATCTTAATATTATAAAATACAATAAACTGAATATAACTAACTAGAAACTAAATGGCTAAACTCAATGGAAAACAGTTAGTTGGGAGTTAAGCGTGCCCCCTCCTGTGGTGCACCAGTAATGGCCTTATTTACAAAACAAAAGCGCCTGTTAACAGCTCATTATAGGATGTTAGCTAAAATCCTTCAGGTCACTCGACCCGTCTCTGGGTTCCAAAGGTAGAAATGTTAAATGACCCTTCTCTGGGACTTCTAGTGTTAAAGAAAATCACATTTTGTTGTGAAATTACACGGTTTCACGACCTTTAGGCGCCCGTATGATACAGGGTACGAAAAGTCCCTTTAGGTCCAACGACAAGCGTCCCAGGATTATGTGAGACAGGACTTGTTTTTTTTGCCTCCAAATCTTATATATGTTGTAATTTTCATAACGTTTTGTCTGTCCAAACAGATCTCACTTGTAAATGAGTCTTCGAGGCTCCATGAGACTTATCTGTATAAATAAAGGTTGAATGAATAAAGTTCGCTCAACAGGCGGAGCCAACGACAACAGATGACGACATCCTGTTTGGTCAATTTAAAACCAACAGACTTCCTGTTTACTCTCAGTAATGATCCTCCATGTACCACTGATTGACATGCATTATACACACGGCTGTGGCACAGATTAGAAAACTCCCGCCCATTGTTCCTCATGCATCACCTGATCCCCAAAGTGACTCACCAGTGAGTACTGGTCCCCTTAAAGCCCAAGACGGAGTGACATTTAAAGGTTGGTTTACCCTGTAAGGCTCGGTGCTGTTCTGCAGGTCCACGCTGGCGATGACCCAGCTGTCGGACGGCGCCTCGCTGCTCCACAGCGGCTCGTCGAAGCTCCGACCTTCGGTGCGCCTCAGGACCTCCAGGCGTCCGGACTCCGCAATCTGATAGACGAGCCTCAGGCAGCTCCAGTCGTCGAGCTCCAGAGACGGACTCAGCAGGAGTCCTGTAACTTCTCTCTGCGGTTCTAGACCCGAACCTGAGCTGCCCTCCAGGTCATCGCTGGCGGCTGCTTCCACAGCAACAAAGTGTCCTGAAGGAGAACGGTGTGACGGAGACATCGGGGTGAAAAACTGTGATCAGAAAAGCCATTTTTACAAATCGCATCTGTAAACGTAAAAGGACCCTACAACATCTCCAACTGATGAGATCAAGGACAACAAAGACGTTCTCCCAAGAAACGTTGTGGCTTCTCTCCATGTCTTATTGGTAGCCAAGTCCTAAATGAGTGACAGATGCAGTCTGATCAAAATAAAACACAACTTTCTGGATATTAAAGATGTTTGTGACCGTTGGTGAACAAGTCCTGAGGGAGTCTCGACATATTTTGTCCTGTAGAGTTGCTGCTGAACCCGTCTCAAGAACTAAACACAGGAGAACTTCTCTCACTGAAAACATCCGAGTCCACAGGTCTAAAGCCACAGTTATCAAAAAACTGGTCCAAATCTTCAGATCTAGTGGAAGAAACCAGAACCGCGGGGGCGAAGCCCAGACAGGTACACGATTCAAGGTATGAAACAACCCACAACGCCTAGAATATGGTTTTGTAAACCATGTTAATGATAAAAAAAAGACCGTTTTAAAAAACTGGCCACTGAAACCGTGCGCAGCTTGCTGCTCACAAACATTCAGACTTCAATGAGACTAAAGCAGAAAACTATCGGTTTTTGAAGCACCATCTTGTCAACCGTTGCTTGATCTTCAGCCACCACAATCGTTTGAGGAAACTATAAAAGCAATATAAAACCCAGAAAACAATCCAGATGGCTGGTTTACATATCTATACGGTAGCCATTATTGATTTTGGCGTGATTTATTACGCCACGATGCAGCCACAGGCCAAAAGGGAAGTCGGTACCTCACTTGTCTTTCACGTTACATGTTCACATGTCGCTCCACAATGAGGGACAAGAAAGATTCAGAATGAAGAGTTGTTTTTCCTTCTTTAGCCTCAGTGTTTCTGATGTTGTTGGACAAACAGTGGAGAAAAAAAGACATTAGCTGATTTAATACGTTTAAATAAAATACTCTAAATGTGTTCCCGGGTCGCGATAGCTCCAAGCCGTGTCAGGAAGAGCATCCGGCGTAAAACGATCTCCAAACCTTGTGGGAGTTTGCTCTCTGGGCGAAAACAACTGAAGCTCCAGGACGAACTGAAGAAGCGCTCCGGGGTCTTTTCAGCTCTCGTTTCGTGGTTTATCGTTTATTTATTTTTAATTCTTGTAAAAAGCTCTGCGGCTCAGGAACGTCCCGGTACTCAAACACTCGTTTCACCAAATAAAACGTGCAGAAACGAGTTCGTCGAGACGTCGCTTCATCTGCTTTACAAAACCAGAGCGAGACGAGAATACGTCAGCTAAAATGATGAGCTGTTTTTCATTTAATTAAATTTTTTTAATGAGCTGCAGCAACTGAGGGTGGAAACAGAGGAGGAGAACGTGGTTACTGGATGGACGCTTCAGCAGCCCGGCACTTTTGAGGCACGCATGAGCAAAGGTTGTGGTAAAGGAAAAAATAGGTTAATGAGACATTTTCCTCAGAGGAGGCACGATGATGCCACGACCGGAGAATGTCTGCTTCTGTTTAACTTTCTTAAAAGTTGCCTTCACTTTAATTCTGAAAATTACAAACAGACGTGGATTAATTTGTTTTTACTCTTCGGTTAAAGAAAGAAAACCCACAAAAAGTCGTTGAAATAACGTGAAACTGACAAAAATAAGAATAAATCATGGCTTCAGATCTGTGGGTTAAAATAATTACTATAAAAACTAAAGAGAGTGGCCTTGAAACGAGGGGTGGAGCCTCTAACAATGTCCTCAGTCTGTTCACAGGTGTCAGGTAGTCACAGGGCTGTTTGGTGTCATGGTGTGTAACACACCGAGACGTTTAGGGTCCACAGGACTGGAGACGACCTCCCTAGACATGTCCACAAGAGGACAACTGAGGACAAATGGAGGAGATGGACAATGCAAGTCCAGAACTTCCAGAGATTAGAGGTGAACTCCAAGGTCAAAGGTCTTCAGGGTCAGAACGACCCGTCGGTCTCTCTGAGTCCTGGTGGACTTTATGGAAGACCCAGATCATAAAAAGCTTCTTGGACAACGTCCTCTGGACAGACGAGACAAAACTGGAGGTTCAGTCAATGCGTCCCATCAGCTCTGTGTCCACAGACCCAGAAGAACTCGGTACCTACAGTGAGACATGGAGGAGGCTCGGTTCAGTTCTGTATCTGGGTCAGGGGGGTCTTCAATCTGTTCTGGGTACAATGAATCTCAAGACTATCAAACAATGGACTGTTCTGAAGTGACCCGACCCGAGTCCTGATCCAAATCCTGATGAACATCTGTGGAAGGACCTGAAACATCTGGAGAAGGAACGTTCAGACCTGAGAAAGCTGGAGCAGATTGTTCAGGAGGAGTGGACCAGAACACCTGAGGACAGATGGACCAGAACACATGTGGACAGGTGGACCAGAACACCTGAGGACAGGTGGACCAGAACTCCTGAGGACAGTTGGACAAGAACACCTGTGGACAGTTGGACCAGAACACATGTGGACAGTTGGACCAGAACGCCTGAGGACAGTTGGACCAGAACACCTGTGGATAGTTGGACCAGAACACCTGTGGACAGTTGGAACAGAACACCTGTGGACAGTTGGACCAGAACACCTGAGGACAGTTGGACCAGAACACCTGTGGACAGTTGGAACAGAACACCTGAGGACAGGTGGACCAGAACACCTGAGGACAGTTGGACAAGAACACCCGTGGACAGTTGGAACAGAACACCTGAGGACAGGTGGACCAGAACACCTGAGGACAGTTGGACCAGAACACCTGAGGACAGTTGGACAAGAACACATGTGGACAGTTGGACCAGAACACCTGTGGACAGTTGGACCAGAACACCTGAGGACAGGTGGACCAGAACACCTGAGGACAGTTGGACAAGAACACCCGTGGACAGTTGGAACAGAACACCCGAGGACAGGTGGACCAGAACACCTGAGGACAGTTGGACCAGAACACCTGTGGACAGTTGGACCAGAACACCTGAGGACAGTTGGACCAGAACACCTGAGGACAGTTGGACCAGAACACCTGTGGACAGTTGGACCAGAACACCTGAGGACAGTTGGACCAGAACACCTGAGGACAGGTGGACCAGAACACCTGTGGACAGTTGGACCAGAACACCTGAGGACAGTTGGACCAGAACACCTGAGGACAGGTGGACCAGAACACCTGAGGACAGGTGGACCAGAACACCTGTGGACAGGTTATTTATTATATTTCTCATTATTAAATTAATTACTTCAGGATGTGATCTTTGAGGGTTTCTCCTTTAGTGAAAAGGTAAAACACGAACTTTTCCGTCTGTCCGGTTCTGAATCAGGCCGGTCCAATGTTTACATCAGAACTTCAGCAGAGTAAGAAACTATTATTGATGACGCACGCAGCTGATCAGTCTCATTGATCAAACACAGAAGTTACGCACATTAAACCCTGAGGCATAAACTGAACCCACGAGACATTTTTACCCCAGATGTTCCGACAGGTTCTACATTAATGTTGGTACCGGCCATGAAGCCGTTTTTAACTTGTGCACCAAACGGTGTGAAAGAGAAGCCTCCATGCGCTGCGTAAAAACAACTTTCAGCTCATTCACACATCAGCTGCACCGCCTCCAGATGTTCACAGATGTTGGACACAACGCAGATGGACTGTGGTGGTGGGGGGGGGGGGGGGGGCACAACAACCCATCGAACCTTCCCGGACCTGAGGGATCAAAAAGTACCGTCTTGGTGCAGGGTCCAGCTGGAGAAGTCTGCGTCCGACGCGTAGCCGCAGGTGTCGGACTCGAAGCTGCACGAGCCCGGCAGCAGCAGGCCGCGGGCGTGCACGGTGGCTGGAGGGGAACCAGAGAGAGGCAACGGTAAGACTGAATCATCGCAAGCGAACCGTGCACTCGTGCACAAGCGCTGGCACGAGCGGCGCCGAGGAGCGCTCACCAAGAAACGTGAAGAAGCAGAGCGGGAGCGGAGATGTGCGCGCCGTGAGGAACTCCATCACCTGAAGGGACCAGAGCAAAAACAAAGTTTGCTGCTGAAGTCTCGAGCGTTGCCTGAGTGTCTCTCCAGCTCAAGGACCGGCAGCACACTGCAGAGCGCCTGCAGGAGGAGGAGGAGGAGGAGGAGGAGAGAGGAGGTGACTGATGAGCTGAAAGACAAAAGAAAGGGAAGAGAAAACCAGCCAGGACACACACACACACACACACACACACACACACACACACACACACAAGCATAAAAATATGAAGATTAAAACAGAAACAGGAGGGGGGATTTTCAAAATAAAGGTCCAGTGTTTCTCCAATGAATGCATGTCGCCCGCCCGCCCTCCAAACAGACTTTAAAGATTAAAGTTGAGGAAGGACAAGAAGTGCAGCCGTTCAGGTCAAACATGAAATTAACTGAAGGGTCAGATTTTATTGATGGACTCGACATTCAAAGAGTTGTAGAGGTGACCTTCTGGAAAATGTAACTGTCCAGTGGTTCACGAGATATTTTGCTAACAGACACCACAGAAGCATGGACATCGTCCACCTCCGCCTTTCTCAAGCTCAAAGGAACGTTATTTTAGTCTAAGCACTCCATCTTCTAACACTTCACAGGGTCGGGTCAAAGAGGCAACAGGTCCAGGAAAATCCCAGACCTCCCCCGTTCCCCGCAGAGACCCCCCTCCGGCTCCTCATGGGGTGCACCCGTGGCGTTCCCAGGCCAGAGAGGAGAGACAGACCCAGTCTCTTCCCAGTGGGACGTGCCCTGAAGACCTAAAGGGAGGCATCCAGATGACAAACTTCCTCATCAGCTCTACTCTGAGACCCCCCCACCCCACGAAGGAAGCTAGTTTCAGCAGCTTGGATCCAGGATCTGGTTCTTTCAGACCTGATCCAAACCAGGTGAGGGACCAGTGAAGACAGCTTTGCCTCTTGACTCAGCTCTTTCTTCATCACAACTGACCGAAGCAACGCCCACATTACTGAGGACGAGACCCCGACCTACCACCTCTCAGGAACAAGACGCTCGGATACGTGAACGCCAGAGGCAAAGACTCCCCCCGACCCGACCCGCCCTGACCCCAGAGGAGGCTCCGCTGCTCTGACTAACGTTCGGGTCATCACGAGGACTTGAGGGTGGAGGAACGCAGCAAGAATTTCACTGATGAGGATGAGCTCACACTGCTGGGGTTTCACAGCAAAACCTTGGAGGAAACTGAAAAACAACGTCTGAGACAGAGTCATTGTTGCAAATAAAGACGAACAAAGACAAACTGAAAACAGATTTAATTTGTGTTCAACCAGATCTGAGAGCAGTGAAGTCATGTTTTTAAATCAGGGACAAAGAACACGAGGAAATGAGCTAAGATCTTAGAAAGTTAAACATTTTCCTCGTAACTGTAGTGAACCAGATGACCTCAAATCTACCAGATGGACAGAGACTGTTATTTTCATTGATCTGAATAAGTCTGGGCCATCTGATGAACTTTCTTTCTTGAATTAATCAAGCAGAAAAGACAATCCTCTATAATCATTACTGTTTTACAAATGTTTTGATAATCAAATTGTGTTAGTTCACTCAATGCTTTACAGGTTGAAAAGAACTACTCATTTTTATTTTACATAAACAGTAAGTAATGATTTTTATTCCTCATTCAGAGAAGAAATCACCTGAATATGCATTTCTTGATTTTCTGTCTGAAATGAGCAAGCTGTCGTAAGTGTGTGAAAGTTGAGGCTTCGGTCAGCTAAATGTTTACTGAAGAAGAAATGTCATGTTTAAACTTTTTCAGAAGATTACCAAGAGTAGACTCCAAAAAGTCTGCTGCTTCTGCAATAATCTTTTCTGTATGTTAAACAAGTTTCATTCTCTGACCTCGACTGTTGATAAACACCTTACGTCAAAACCACTCCTCTTTCTGGTCCTTCCACGAATCAGAAAGCTCTAAATTGAACAGGAAGTAAACTCATTTAAAAATGTGACAACTTCCCAGTTCAAGTGAGATTTCCAGAATTCCAACAGAATGAGAGTTCTGGGAGATGTTGGAATGAGAGCAGATTGAGAGTGCAGCCGGTTCTGAAAGCTTCAGAGCAATGAAGAGAACTAGAGTTATGAAGAGTTTGGAGTTATGAAGAACCAGGGACGTTTGGGATTATAATTCTGTTTTGAGCTAACCACGCACGACTCTCCGAGGATTTTTAGCTGTTCTTAACGGAGGCGCTGAAACAGTCTGAAGGATGCTTACTGAGCTGATCCATCGTCAAACCAGGTAAAGACTTCTTCGACCAAGTGTACCGTGGGCAAAGCTGAGATACCTGATGGGAGCGTGCAACTTCTGGTCAAACAGATTAAATTCCCTCACACAGTTCTCTGTAAGATAATCTCCTTTCATCTTAAACTCTTCTCTCTCATAAATCAGTACAGATATTTTTAGAAATATCTGAAGCAAAGTCCTCGAATCACCGCCGAGTGATTTGAAGTTCATTTTCTGTGAAACTGTCTGTTATTATTTTCATATTTTGCCAAATTAATGTAAATGTTTGATGTTAAACTTTGATTCTGAAAATAAATGATTCCATTCATTTGATGGGTCAAAGGTAATAACGTCTCTCGTTCGCATTCCTTTAAACTCAATGCACGGCATTACACAGTCAGAAAAATGAAGAACTCGTGAATATTGTATGCATATATAATTCATATATTTGTCATACAACAAGTGACACGTACCTCACGTGACTCACTACAAACTGGTGGCTCGTTAACGGTTCATGAATGACTGTTGATACGTGTAAGATTGATTTTACATGTTGGCATGTTGAAAAAGTAACAGCTGATGAGCTGTGAATGTTTACGCAGCGGCTGGGCTGCGCGCTTGGAGCTGCACCGTTCAAGCAAACGCTGCATGTATAAGCGTTGGGCTGGCAATGTTTTAAGAGCTGAAATTGTGTCATTAAGTCTTGTGTAAGCTGAAATTGTACGTCTGTTACGTGTAACTAAAAGCTGATGAGCTGTGGAAGACGTTATTCTGTCTAAAAGTACGAGGTTCTGCTAAGACCCGGCTGTGACCCAGTTTCGGTTCTGTTCAGTTTGAACGAGTATTTTGAATAGATGGATAAACGTTTTAAAAGCTGAGTGCCATCTCAGAACACAGTTAGAAGTTGTTTCGTTACAATTTTTAGCAGAAAAAGTGCATTTTGATAGTTTAAAAGACGAAAAGATGACGAATTATTTTCAAGCTAAACTTAACTTGCTAGTTGGAGAATACGCTTCGTGATTGGTTGAATTCACTGTTGTGGAGCGCTTTCATTGGTTGAGAAGTTTGACTGACGTGCTACGTCATCTCCCCTCAAGCCTGCGCTGCGTTGCCATTGGTGATTTCAGTCACGTGACCCGGAAATGAAATTCGTTTTCATAGGGAAATAAAATCTGCTTTTTAAAGCTGAAAAGTAAATTTAAAGTGGTTTTGACACGCTGGTCAAGTGCTTCGAAGCCTGCTCGCCGAAATTCTGCCACGTTAGAGTTTAAAAATTCGTCAAAAAATGATGTTTTTAAACAACGCTAGCGATGCTAATTTTAAGCTAACAAGCTAACGACCGGAGCTTAAACTACGCTTAAAATCACTAAATAAATGACACCAACAGTCCCAAAAACTCAGGTTTGAAGCTATAAAGTCTGATTGCAAAACTTTTGCCACTTTTGTGTAAAAAATCCGTTCAGAAATGTTGATTTTGACCGAGTTTAGCCGAAGCTAACTTCAAGCTAAGCGGCTAACAACAGGATGCCAACCGAACGCCACAGGAAGTTATAGCACCCCCTAGTGGACAACACAAAAAGTGACGGAGTTATAATTGTTGAGGAAATACTGACATCTCCTGGCGAGACGTGAGATCACAGATTTCACTTCGTTTTAGGTAAAGAGTGAAATTAAACGTCTTTTTATTTTTCTGTAAGGCAAATTCTGAGTTAACAAACTTCCTCAGAGCTGAATAAAACACTGTTATCTTACATTTTAAAAAGTAATAGGTATTTATGCAAAGAAGCATTTACCAAAAAATTTTATTCACTGATAAATCCTTAAAACAGGTCCAAAATAAAATTAGAAACTTTTTAAAAAACAGATACAGTTACAAATATTCACAGAGTTGAACAGTTTACTCATTTTGCTTGAAGGATAATACACGTTTAATTGCAAAATCACTAAATAAGAGTAAATTTATCAGGAAAAAGAGATTTTCTGTTTAATTTACCACCTAAATAAAATATCTCTCTATTTAATTTTAAATAGAAGCTATACAGGAGCAAATACAGTTTTTCTGAAGAAAGACTGATTATTCCTCATCATCAAATTCTTTTCTCTTCTCACCCACCTGGGATGATGAGTAACTGTTTAAAATAGCAAAATTTCTGGAACAGAACGGTTTAAAAAACGTTTTAAACTAATATTGCTGTGAGACTAAAGAAAAATTTGCAGGTTTATAAAAATTCAGTGTTTTAGAGTAAAATACACAAAAAACAGCTTGGTACTCTAGTATCTGTGGAAAATAAGCACAAAAAGTAACACTGCTGAAAGAGCATTTACTTAAATATTCATGAATTGGGGTAAAACCTGAGAAAGGTACCCACATTTGAATAAGTGACTTATAACAGTACTTCTGTGTAAACCCAAAGCTAAAATAAGTGTGAAAACTCATTGACTTGAATACAAATATTTACCTGTAAAATATCTAAAGCTTGCAACTGTTCAAACAGATAAATTGCTACACAGTGAAAACATGACAGGTGTGTTAGAAAAAGATTTTGACCCAAAAGGAATCACGGACTGCTTGGAGAATGCGTTCGCGCTTCTCGGAGCGTCCTTACATTCATATATAATTCAGACAGAGCGCATGAACCCAAAAGAGTTAGTGGACAATCTGAAGGAGGTTGCAGAAAGTGTGACCTCTGCAGAAATCACAAAGTCCAGTTATGAAAAGCTGGCTAAAATTGCAATCTTGCTGAAAGAATTATTCGATAAGGCTGTTGAGAAAACTGATAACCTCAAACTAAGGTTAGACCGTGAAACAGTGTTTGCTCAAGAAATTGAAGAATACGTTCTT